TTACCATGACCGAACGACAAAACTTCAGAACGCTTTTGGAGAGATCTCCCGATCACCATCGAACAATCGGACGACACATGTGTGCTTTGTTACCCCTTTTTTCTACCCAGTGAAGAAATGGAGGCTTGCGCAAAGCAGTTCTGGTTCTTGTTCGACGGCAAGCCTAGAACACGTACAATGATATTTGTTGGATCGACAAAGAAAGATCAGAGACCAGGTTGTGGTTCCTTTCCTCATCCTGCTTTCTTCACGCCCAATACCGTGCTCTATGTGCGAGTTGTCGACATGTCTTTTGCGCCACCCTCCCTCACCTTGTTGATCTCGCAGTGCGGTGACAGAACTACAAACCGCCCCGGAACATATTTTGGAGTTCCCCACTACCGCAGCGGGCCGAAACATGAGTGGTACCATAGTTGCTTGTGCCCTCGCAACACACGAGTATGTATTCGAGGCCATTGGGGTGTTGCGAATGCCCGTTGTGTACTGTATGTTACTGAATTCCGTTGCCCGCTCTTGTCGGCCGGAGCGTGGCTTGCAGGAATGAAAGCATGCCGCTACGTGTAGCATTTAGACAGCGGGCCAGGGGCCGAGTTTGCTGTACACTGCCTGCACCATAGTCCGAACGCCTTTTGTTTGTATCGCTTGCTTGCTGTTTATGTTGACCTGCCGCAGGCATTTTTCGAGCTCCTGCTGCCGCACTTCTCGGACCTTGAACGGTGAGAGACAGAGACGGAGACATAGACACAGCGAGAGAGAGAGAGAGGAGTGATTCGTGGAAATCACCAGTAAACAGGCCATTAACGTATTATGTTGGCAAACATCATTTGTTTTGTTGACTGACAGAAGATAAACGTCGTGTAGAACAGGGCTTAACTCTTCTCTGTGACTTTGTTGCACTATCTGGACTCGAGTTTGCCCCCCACTGCTTTGTCATTTTGTCCGGTATTGGAGTGTTACAGCGTATGACGTCTTTTCACACGTTTCTTCTTCTCTGGGAGGGAAAGAGGATACCGTTGCGGACTCATCGCTGCTTGCGCCATGGCGTGAATACTGGAGCGGCGTTTTGGCGGCTTCAGCCTTCGGACTGTCACGAATATTTTCTGGTGATAACCCGTCGTTCTACGCCGATTCTCGCGGTGGTCAGCTTTTGTCGGCGTTTCAGGTTGTAGGGATGCGTACCTGGTGGTGGACGAAATATTAGTCGTGGTCCTGATTACAAGTGGGGTGTGCCAGCGGGTGAACGCGTCTTTTTTATTTCTCTCCTCTCGTGGCTTTCGGGTTCGTTCATGACACTTTAGACACTTCACGGTGGAGTTTCTGGTCGGAGAGCGGCTGGAGCACCTGAAGCGGAGCCATCTTGCCCTAGAAGCGGACGATCTCATTCCCGAGGACGTGATGCAGCACGTGTACGGCAAGGAGCCGGAGCGCCAGGTTAGACTCCAGCGGTCTCAATCTATCACGTCTTTTATCAAGAATCAACGTTTGAGCTGGAGCTTGGGACGTGCTCCTGTATAGACCCTGCCATCACGATGACCTTCGTTTGCTTGTAACCAAGCTGTGGTTGCCGGGCACAGCGTCGAACGCGGAAATAGCGTATGTGTAGAGGTCAGCGTGTTGTGGACATAATGCCGTTGGTACCGTGTCGCAAGACTCCCTGTTGTTTGTTCCCGCTGTTGATACATTTTCGAACCGACAAGGGCGGCCAGACACGCGAACGTGTTTCGCGGCGTTGTTTTGCTGCAGCGAATATCAGATTGCTACTGCAAGCGACAAGGTTTGCCCCATTCCCATCGGATCGCGTGCCAGTGACTTCGATGGGCCCGGTTGGCCATTTTGTCACTCAAGATTGGTGGCCCGACTAACAGGGAGGAGGTAGACCCAGGCTGTAATTTCAGCCTCCACACCCAGTATTAAGTACTGTTGAACAGAGGGCCCGCATACAAGTGATGGTACCGACACGAAATGCAGAAACCACATCACCAACGGGTTACGCCTGGTATGGCTTCAGGCAATCAACAAGTACACCCCGCCGACCCCCGGCCCGACTCTCGTCGCTTCATCGCTTACGTCCATCTCCTACCGAACAGGTTTCCCGGATGCTGGGCGTTAAGCAGCCCACGGCAGACGTGGCGGCAGTGCTACTCAAGTACGGAGTGGCAGCCGAACACTTTTGCTACGCTCGATTCCTCAAACTGAGCAGGTGCGCACAACCGTCGCAGATCTACAATCGTTTTCCTACCGGTTGGCGGGTATAAGGGACGCGCCAGCACGAACACGTGCTGCTTGCCCAGTATGTTGACATGCTTGACATGCGCTTCCAATATCTTCTCGGCGACGCTGCGCCGGTTGGGATTGTTCCTGCGTTGGTCCCCGAATTCTACAAGCTTCACGGGGATGGGCGTATTTGCCCCTCGCTTCCGCGTCCCTTTTTTCGTCTGGTCTTCGCGATGAAGTTTCCCAAGTGGTTGCTCTAACCTGTGATGTTCGTCCTCTTCCACTCATCCCTCACTACCCTTTTCTTGGGTGTTCCATTCACACGAACAGAATGCCTGACATTTGTTCTGATTTCGGGACGACGACATCGCATCCGTCTATGCAGGAATCCACCTCCACATCCCGCGCTAGCGGCCGTTGCCCTTGCGGCATCGTCCGAGTCAGCCAAGATCGCGGAAGACATGGCCAAAGTTGCGGCGGAGTCGGCCCAAATGGCCGCGGAGTCCGCGATGGCGTTCGAGGCCGCGGGTCTCTCCGGAGCGTTGTCGCCCACGAGTGTTCTTCCTCAGCAGGAGGCACGTAGCGCTACGTCTGGAGATGGGGACGAATTTCACGCAGCAGCGGTTGAAAACGAGGAGGGGTCATCGCCAAGATCGAGGTCAAGCGCCGGCGCTTCATGTCCACCGCCGTCGGGGAGTGGAGGAGAAGATGGCGGGACATAGGCTGGAATGAAGACATGGTGGTGCTGTGCTATAGGGTTGTTTTGGAAGCAACGAGCAAGAGATAATAGAGACGGGATTCGCCGTTGCTTCGGCACCGGGAGGATTTCCGTCGCCGGGATATGTGGAGCACACTACTTGTAGGTGGCTACATCCCGGGGGCATTATCATGCGTATCATTAGAGGAGGCGGAGGTGTGTTATTTCCACGGTTCTGTACGATTCCTATTTCAGGTATTGTTGTCGTATGTGCAAACCGAGTCTATCCTCCCTTACGAGGGGGGAGACATCGCGCGTGGAGCTTCCAAGTCCTCCAACAGTTAGTTTCATATTGCCCCGCTCATGGACCCCACGTCCACGGTGAAACGGTGCGACGCCCTGACGATGGAATCCACTCCTTGTGGATATACCAGATATTTAGCCGTTCTTCTGGGCCTGGAGTCGGTCAGGGAAAATTTAAGGGTTGCCACAAAGTGCGGCTTTCACCCTCGGTGGAAGTGTCATATGTCTTATTGCACGGCTCGAGGGTGCCTTGATCAGTGTTCGTGGATGTAGCTTGCACGAGCCAAGCTACGAAGGGTGCCCAAGTTTGAGTTGATGGTGCAGCGGCTCCAAGCCCCTCCCTCGAGCTACCAATGATTGCCGGACGAGAACGAATTGGTCTGTAGCATGAAGCACAAGTTGCAAACACGTTATGATTAGAGTAAACTTCTTTCGTGGCGTGGCGCAGCCAATTCGTCGGGATGTAGCGACGAGTACCGTTTATCGTGGCACGGCTTACATTCGTGGCTAGTCCAGTTTAAGCTCGGGCAACGGCGGCTTCAGTTTTCGTGGCGCCTTACAGGGTGTCGGCGTGGATTTTGAGCAGCCAGTCGTTCTGAGCCTGGGCACTGTGCTGGGAACGGGGTGCGTTGGGCTCAACAGGTAGTGGTGATGGAATCGTGCATCTCCCTTAGCTCTGCACCAAAGCGCCGTGCGTGTTACTTGAGGTTTCTTGCGTCGGGGCTATACGAGCGACAGGATAATTGTTCTTTCCCCATGATTTCTATTGCTATCAGGCTGTCGGTTCCAGCTGTGGGGTTCGGAAGGTATGCGGCAAGATATCTACCCGAACGCCACCCGCGTACGTCAAAGTGAGGCAGGTCGTGGTACAGCCAGTCGGTCGCGCATGAGTTATCCTTAACGTTTGTCCCTCGATGCGGAGCAGGTGTACTCTATCTGATCGTGGTAAAGGGTGTTACTCGTGGTAATGCGTCATTACGACAGCAAAGTAGGCAGATGCTTGACACTTTCTGGGCGGACTGAAAGGTTGCGAGGTTGTATCGATAGCAAAGCGGAAGAATAGACTATTGATAAGCTTTGAGCTTGGCACACCCAAGAGATATACTGGAATCAGGCGTATGTGTCTGTTGTGGGGGTGGTTCATGTGTTGGCCACTATTAACCGCCCCCGTTCGTGAAGTTACCCCGCTGTTATTGCTGGACCGCACGAGAGAGGCACTGTTATATTTTTCTTCCAGTGTGATGATGATTCAAGTGCTTGCGATCGGGATACTCTCGCTATTATAGCGGCTTTCACAAGCCAATTTCTTGTCTGTTTCTTGTGGATTGGTCGACGTGCTACTTCGAGACTAGAGTAGGTAGGCGATAAGCGTTGTTAATCGTGCTTTCCGTTGACTCGGTGATATGAGATGTGGTCGGCTACCCCTCTTGCACACGTGAGGAATTGGTGGTCAGCCCGCTTGCATTCGATTCATGAATTCGAACGAACGCCGACTCGATAATATTTTCCTCGTTGCCTGACCGTATACCATTCATTCCGGAAGGGATAATTTTATTGCCGTTTTGGGCATGCGCAGACTCAACACAGTACGCACGAAGTCAACCGCTGATGAGGTACTCCCTCTGTGTTCTTTGTGAGACGCCACGTGGCTGATCATTTCACTTGTACTGGAGGATCGCACTTTCTTCGTTCTTTGCACACGAATTCCCATTATTTATGCTACCAACACATGACACATGACACGCAGCATCCCGCCGACGCACGGCCAGCTCCAGAGAGCTCACAGATGCATGTGGTGAGTGACACCCTTGAAGGTTTCTTGGCATTCGAACTATCAGAGAGGAGGGGAAACGCTTGGTAATTGTCTGTGAGGTCGGTCCGTCCTTGTTTTTCTAAGCGGTTGTTGTATAATGATCCCGGTCTACACATACATCGAATGTTCCCTGCCCTGCTTCGGTGTGTATTTCGTTATTTCAGGTGCCTTAATTCCGCCGCATTTTTTTCGGTGCACTTGTGACCTCATGACGTGTACAACAACCGTATCTCCTCGATCTCAGGCGCACCTCTGGTACAACACACAACTAAGGTCCATCGTCACGCACGAGATCGTCGACTTGGGGGTTTGCTTGACACCCGCCTGGTTTGTTCTAGTGTTGAAAGCAGGTGTCGAAGTCGCTGTCAGCAGCAGGATTGAACTACAGTCTGTACTCAGTCAGCAAGGCGGCCAGTCCAGCAGGCAGCCCCAGCGTGGACTCTCCCCCTATCTGTGCGGTCAAGCTCTGGTGCAACATTCTGGACTTGGGGCTCTACCGTCGCAGGAGGGCGGCGGTCAAGAACTGCATCGGATGCTCCGATCTCCAACTCTGCTAGCCGCAGCGGCGCTACGGTCAGGGAGCAGGCGGCGCAATTGTCTGCTCTGCGTTCGCCCCCACCACGCTATTTGGCCAGCACAGCAGCTGAGGCAGCAGCAGAAGCAGCAGCAGCAGGAGCAGAAGAGGCGACAAGGCGCTTTTGTCGCACGCCGGGGGCTTTGCTCCACGCCTTGGCGGAGTGGTGATACCCAGCGCTCTGCATTTCCCACTCCATCTTCCGCGGCCTTGGGCTCCTCCTCACCACAGGGAGCAGAACAGAGTCGTGGAAAACACAGCCAGCAGGATGGTGATGGCCAACAGCCACAATGGCACCATCACCGAAGTCGGCACCAGCGGAGAGCAGAACGCCGGGCGCAAGAAGGACGCACTTACGGTGGGTTTCTTGGGATCACACATTCTGCGCGACACATAAAGCCGTAGTGTGACACTCTTGCTCTTGCATATTTAGCAGCTCCTGACAACAGAGAGACATGAACAGCAGTAGATGGAGAAACCCCGAAGGTGTGCGTGGAGAAAAGGAGACATCCGCTGTGTCATATTTTTTACCACATGCCAACCCGATGGAGACATTTGAGTGTCGCAGTACATATGCATGTGGATTGTCCGGATTCATGACGAAACCCGCTCAGTGACTCCTTCCCGCTGCCGCGGCTGTCGCCTGTACGCTGATGTTTAACGGCCAACTCAACATGGGCGCCTTCTCTGCAGCATCAAGAGACTCATTGTCGTCGATCCGGTGGCACAAGTTCGACGACCGCAACTCGGGGGGGGAGGGACGGAAGCGGGGAGAACAGACGAGCGACCTGGTGAATCCAGCAATCGCCAAACTCTTGACATTACCCCGAAGAAGAAATGTGAGGTTTGCTGGTGTATCATACGCGCTTGTTCAGTTTTTTTAGTGACGTTGAGAACGATGCTGCTGTTGATCCGCGTTCCGGGCCGTTGGCGTCGGTTTTGTCCCCACCCTACAATCTCCAAACCACAACCATTGTCGGATCCACACAAAGGACTGGAGGGAGGCTCTCCGGGTGCTTGATGACGTTGAGCAGCAGGCAGCAGCTCGCGGAGAGGCGTCTTCGAGGTTGTGGTGCCGACAGGGGCTCTCACGGGATGATGGAGAGCGGGCGCGCACGAGGGTATACAACATCGTCATGGACATCCTGTCGTCGCGAAAAAGGTACGACGTCTGCTGTTGCTGCTGCTGCACATCTGCTATACTTGCTGTTTCTCCTCCAACTCTTTCTATGGTTGACCAGTTGTCAAGTTTGACTATTTGGGAGGATGATTATTTTTTATTTTGGTCGTGCAGCACCACTTCAAACGGAGTGCCACGCACAACACCAGCGCGGAAAACTGTCGGAGTAGAAGGTTCGCACGTCGACCGCTGTAGATATATTGTAGTACACGTCTGGTCGACGACAACGTGGTTCCCGTAGTCTATTCGAAATGCGACGATGTGCACAGGCACTGTACTGTGTGGCCATGGCACGAGAAGGTGCCAACACCTAGCAGGCCTGCCGATAACGGGTTCCACCGGAGGGGGTGCAATGCATTGCCCTTGAGGGCATGTGCAGGACCCCCGGCCTCCCTCGTCCATTCGGTTCCTCTTCGTACTGTATCCTGAAACTCATTGAGCTTTGTCCTCTGCCTGTAAACGGAACCGCGACTTTTCCTAGCTCTTCCCGGAATCGTTCTCTACACTCAAGGATGAGTTGTACCACGTCTTGTTTTTTTGTCGTCTCTCCCAAAATGATTTTTCACGTGTCATGAATCTCAGAACGTCATTTTGCTGCCCCGGATAAAACGACATGTCCTGTCCTCGACCCTTGCGCGACACGTTTCAAGCTCGAGGTGGCAAGAGGCGTTTTTGCTGTTGGAGACTATGCAGGAGCGCGGGGTCACTACGGATCTTTACACGCTCAATTCAACGCTCAAGGCTTGCGGCTCTGCTGGGCAAGTGAAACGTGAGCGCGGAATGGATTTAATGCGTGGCGAACCTCGATCAAGTTTCGCGTTTGAAGACTAGGCGTTTTGTTGCGTTGTTGATATTGCTTGGTTGAGCGTGTCTAAATTTGTCGCGCAGGTCTTGGGCAATACACAGAGCCTTTAAGCGAATGGCAATGGAACGGCAGCAGTAGCCAGCAGTATTGGTGGCGGTGGTCTGCCGCTCCTACCACCGCCAATGTCGTGTTTCGTGTGTTGGTTTCAAGAAGACGAAGACGACTCCTGCCCTTGTGAGAGAAAGAAGTGCGTTGCGGCGATGGCAGCAGCAACAATGTCAACTATGACTACCGCAACCACCACCACCACAACAAGAGACGTTTGGTAAACCTGCACTTATGTGAATCGACATTATCTCACACACCCCTTTCTCGATCCGTTTGTCTTTCCCATTCGATTCCGGCATGCACTCTCGCTTCATATTTTCGCAAGTGCTGCTCGCCCTCTTGAGAGAGATGCGCTCCAGCAGCCGAAGTAACGACGACAGCGGCAGCAATGACAACCAGAGGGGCGACGGGAATGCCGCTACCTTTCTGCTGCCGGCACCGGACGTGGTTTCCTTCAACATCGCGATTGGGGCCTGCGCGAGGGCGGGTGAAGCATCGCTCGCTGTATCCTTGTTCGACGAAATGAGAGCGGCGGCTGTCGCAGAGTGAGTGACGAGAGGAAGGCGGCCTCGGCTGCTAGTTGTGGATATTGCCCAACGTCCCCTTGTAGGCTGACACTAAGAAAGAAGACCGCCTTCGTTCTCGAGGAGCGTTGCGTGTACGAACCCCTCTTGCTTGGTTGCACGGGAACGCAGCAGTAATATTTTAGGGTGTCCGCAATACGACCGTGTAGGCGTAAGGGAGCATCGCTCGCAGAAGTCTAACTATCACTCCTGCCGTGTTGGCAGCCAAACCCGACCTGGAATCATGTCCACATACCCTTGTGCTTCCTCTATCAAATCTTGCTCGCTGCTATCTCCCATGTGTTTGGTGTGTGTTTGCTCTGGTGTCGTGGACATCAACAATGACAGCAGCCCAACGGCGGGTGATGGCGTGTTGGCTGTAGGTGAGGGCACCGCGCGCCCGTCTCCGGTCCCATCACCGGACAGGTTGAGCTACAACTCCACCCTCTCAGCCTGCGGGCGTGCGGTCACCGCCGACGATGCGGAGTGGCTGCAGAGGGCGTTGGATATTTTGGAGGCGATGAGGACCGGTGAAGATGGTGCTCCGTCCCCGGATATTGTTTCGTACAAGGAGGTCGTGAATGCATGTGGGCGGTGAGATGAGAGCGTGCTGGTGATATCGACCGGCCGTGTTGTCGTCGTTAGACTGTTGGAATACCTCGCATCTTCATATGGCCGAGATGGACAGATGCTCCTCATTAGAGGATTGAGTTGCCAAGCATCATTGCAGTACCCAGACGGAGAAGAAGAATGTGCGCTATTATTTCCGTCCCAAATGCCCAGAGAAATTTGATTGCCGTTTAGTTTGCCTCGCCAACTCAAAACTGATTGCCCTTTAGTTTGCCTCGCCAACTCGATCCGCCATGGGTTCGTCGGGCGTTGAGATTAAGCGCTAGGGGGAACGCGGGGATGATGAATACAACGTGATTGACGAGGCGGAATGAGAAAGTTACGCTACAAGAGCGATGGTAAGTCCAAGGATAGACGAAGGCTGAGAGGAAGAGAGAGAACAGCCAGATGCAGAACGAATCACCTCGATCGAGCGGTTCCGCCGGTTGTAACACGCCGCCTTGTTGTCGGACTCGCCGTAGCGCGAACATGATTCAATGAACGATGGCAGCAGCCTTACAAGCTTCACATGGACAGGTTGTTGAAACAGAGAGCTCATAGGTATTGTAGTTCCTGATATGAACGTTTGAAGACTGCGAAACTCCCTGAGTGGATGAAATGATGATGGTTTTGAATTGCCCCGCCTTTTCACACGGCCGTCATCGATCGATGTTTCCGTCTTCCCTCAACTATGTATTGGATCAGGGCCGGGCGCTGGGATCAGGCGCTGTCCTGGGTGGATGCTGCGGTTGACGCTGGTCTGGAGCTGACGGCCTCGGTGTTTTGCGCGATAATAATTGCGTTCGGCCGGGGGCGGGAGTGGCGCCGCTCCTTGTCGGTGGTCTACGACGACATGCCGGCCTATGAGGTTGATCCGGACAAATTTTGCTACAACATGGCTCTAAGGTCCGGTGGTGTGTACTCGTGTTTCTGTTGTTCAACTTCATCGATCGCGCAAGCGAGCTGACCTAGCGTCTATGCTCGCCCACTGTTGACCCCAGCTAGAAGCAGCACTTTCTTGGCTTCGTTCGTGCCTTGCCGGGAACGGATACGTCTTCTTTTTTCACCGACCACCGACAAAAATATGTGACCCACGGTTTTTTGTTTGTCGTGTGGACGATACCGGCAACTGACTCTTGTGGTTCTGCATGGCCCCGCTGTTTGGCGTTAGCTCATCAGCTGGCCGTAATAGTTGTTCGTTTCTGGGTTCCGAGTGCCTCCTCGTGCCGTCCTGTTCGTTGGTGTCGGTCACACAAAAAAGCGGAGACAAGATTTTTTAGTGAACCAACATGAAACGGCGTGTTATTTTGTTTGGTATTCTTCCCTGCTCGGCAGGGCGTGCGCGGATGCGGGCCAGGTGAAGGAGGCCCTGGACATCCTCGACCAGGATCTTTCCGGACAAAGGGGGGTCAACGCCTTCAGCTACAGCTCCATTATCGACGCGCTCGCACGACAGGTGGCCTCAACCACAACCACCCAAATTAATCCCTTTACTTGATTTGTATCCGAACCAACTTTGTTATTTTCTATGCGGAACTCTATGCCTAACCCTGGTCGGGCTTTCAATTGCCGTAGGGCCAAGTTTTTCCATGCCCTAGGTCTCACGGGTAATCCAGTGACGTCGGGGACGATATGCGTAAAATACCGTTCATCCCGCTAGGGGCTGCAACAGCGCAATTCTCTCTCCACTGCCGATCACACGACCATTCTATGTGTTTTGCGCTTACTACAAGCAACGAGCCGCGTTCAACCATCGTTTTGCCATGGTTCGAGGGAGTCCGTCTAACACGTAGCAGAGCAGACTTGTTTCACTCTGGAGGTAGGTCGAATCACCTTCCAAGGTTGTTTCCTTTTACTCGTTTATCTAAATCCACGCTTACCTTGTTGACGCAAATTCCACCCCCAAATTTTTTCCCAGGCAAGAAGGGATGCTCTCACGTGGGTGATGTTTTCAGCACGTAGAACTGGTACCGTGAAACTAGGGCAAAAGGGTTGAGGACTCACAGACGAACACAACCAACTACTGCGGCAACCAACACCGCGCTCGATGTCGGACGTCGGCATGAACGTGTTGCTAATTCGCGCACATGTTGCATCATGTTCTTGTGCTCTAAGACTTCCGAATTCCCGCAATGAAAGGGTGACGCAGAGCTCGGCCTTCGGCTCCTGCGGGAGATCCACGTGTCTACAGGGTACTCGCCTAACGCCTGGCACTACGGCGGGGTGTTCCTTTCATTCCTCAAGGCTGGGGATGAAACTGGGGCCCTAGCTATCCAATCGGAGTGGAGAGATATCCAGGTACAGAGCGTGTTCGCCCCCATTGCGTCATTGTGTCCGGAACAAATCAACACGTTGATCTTCAGTAATTGAAACTGTTCTTTGGGAGGGACAGCGAAGACGAAGATTTACCAAAGTGGTGTTCTTAATAGACGAAATGGGAAAAATTGTGTTTTCAATTACCAGGTTAATGTACTGGGCATCATTCCGGGGATAGGAAGGACACTCGGCCCCTGGCATTGGAATGTCAAGCCCATTATGGTCGCGGTATGGCTGGACTGGTTTCACAACGTACAATCACTGGCAGCGGCAATGTATCCAGTACCTACATCGCGACCATGCTGGACGGAGTCGCATAATCTCCAAGCCGTGCTGGACGGAATCACTGCGCGAAATTCTACAATGCGGTCACCATTGGTTCTGCAAAGTGGGTTGAATATGGTTTGGGGATCGCTTTGGCTTGTTCTTGTGTACTTCAGAAGTATATACCTAAGCCGTAGGTGTGGGTATTTCTTCCCACTGTGTCTGATTCTTGTCACAGGCACGCGAAGCCACGGAGCGAATGCGTCGGGGAGCCGATGGAAGCGGTGGAGACGGTGACTGTTCGGAACATCGCTCGCGAAATGGTCGCATCGACCCCAACAGCGATAAAAACGGCGCCAGAACCGCGCATCGCGGTGTAGCAAAACAAGATCCAGAGGGACAGCGTGCGGTGGTGGAACTGGCGGCCGCGGCCCCGGGAGACCGTTTCCAGCCTTTGGACTTGCTCTGCTTGGCGGCGTTTCATGCCGATAACGGCGCATGGTCGGACTGTTTAGATGTTCTCGGCACGGCGCAGGAGGTACGAAATGCTGTAGACGAACAAGGAGGCGATGCCAGCTGTTTCAATCGATCACGCACCGGTGTGCCACGATATTTTCGACAATCAACCGTGGTCCATTTCCGCAGCATGCAGGCGTATGCAAGCTGTACTTTCTGTCAGACAACCCTTTTTCTCAACACTGACGAAGAGACAAACCCATGAGCATTCCGACGAGGGCCACCGCCACATTTTTCGATTCTGTATCAGACATCAATTGCCCCTATTTTCGGTGTTTTGGCCAGTCCTAGTCAGTTGCCCCTGTCTTCCTCGTTGTCGCCGACCCATATACAAACAGGTGAGCCGGACCGCCCGAGCGGCAGTTAGAGCCAAAGCAAACGAGCTGCTGCTCGGCAGGACGGAGCGAGGCGAGGTAGTCGGCAATGTTGGGGCAACGACCGGTGAGGAATGACCCCTATTCTCCGTTCCTTGTGTGTCTGCCAAGAATCTTCTTCCAATGTTCGATCTCGGTAGACTGAACTTGGAGCATGTTGTCGGCAAGAACCATTCAAAACGGGGCATGTTTAATTGAATAGTGGTTGGTTTAGAAAATGCTGCGACAGTGTTCCATGAATCCATTATTCGGTTGTTTGTTGCCGCACAGCCTTTCGTAGGAGCAGGTCTTTTCTTTTCGCCTTCGGGAATGCGTTGGTTTTTCTCCGGAGTTTCATTCCAACTGCTGGGAGTCCCTTGGCCATGATAGATTCCTTGTCTCCGTCCTCCGTCGCTGTTGTTCCTTGTGCTCCGTTTTGTGTTGGTCAAACAGCAGATAATGCCTAATCTAGATAGTGTTGCCAACGGGGTACCTTGGGATATCAGTTGCCGTGCCACCTTGTACCTTGGCCTGGTTGCGCCTGCAAGCGCCGGCTTCGGTCATCTAGATTTTCTACGAACCGTGTATTGGGGACGGGTGAGGCCCGTTCATCGCGCAACCGCCACATGTATCACGAACGGAAAAATAAGAACGACAACATCAATAACGTCAAGGATATGTGAACGCGGACCGCTGAACATCGAAAGATCAACTGCAACAATCGGCAACCATCGTGCGCAGGTGTTGCTGGAGCCGGGCTAGCGTCCTGGCGACAGGTCGCGGCAGAAAACTCCGAGGCTACGGAGCGAGCTGACGAGGCTTCAAAGGCGTTGAGGGGCTGCTACGAGTCTGCGGTGGAAGCTCTTGGCCGCGCAGGGCGCCACAAGGAGGCCTTACAGGCAAGTTTCGGGAATTAGTTTTGCCCATCGTTCCAGGTCCCACTGCTGCCGTGGCCAACGATGTAGCCCTTGCCAGTATGCAGGCTCGAGGCAATTTCGTTTTGCTGTTGTGCGCGTCTGTTGGTCAAGATGACGCCAACTGTAGAGATTGTGCAAAAGACGTAAGCAACGATCTTGTGTTGCGTTTGAGGTTGGACATTTTGCTGTGTTGGCCCTGGTGCGGTTGAATGTTGAAGAGGTTGTCATGAAGGACTTCAATAGTCCCGTAGAGATGGGGTGAGGATTATTCAATGAGTCAAATATTACGAAATGTTTGTGAGAAGGGAAATTACTCTTTGCTTGGGTCCCGGTTCGAGCCCGTGGGCATGTTGGCAATTCTTCTCATGGTTCCTGCAACTGTGATTATTTTCTTGAGTACCGGCACCGTGAAAAAGCCGACGGGTCGTCCTACGACCCTTTGAGGGCGTCCTTGGGCGTCTTCCATTGAACGCTTTCATATCAGTAGTGTTTTTTCGCCGTATCCATAGAACATGTGCTTTCGATATGTGTTTCTCAATTACCATCCCAACATCAAATGCCGTGATCAACAACGTGGTCGCTAGGTACTCGAGGAGGGCGCTTCTGTCACCGTCAAGCACGGGCTTTCCATGGACCCTGCCTGCTTCGTCTCTGCCCTTCGTTCCTGCTGCTGCAACGACACCGATTCCGAAGATTCTGGCTCAGAGGCAGGGGCTGCTATGCTCGGCGAGATGGAGGCACGAGCTGGGGTAGTGCCGGATTCTTGGTGTACCAACGTCGTCATGGAGGTACCATACAACAGCAAATGATTGCTTTGTTCTGATCTTCAGCGAACAAAAGAGCCTGCAGCTTTGAGATGTTAGGGGTGAGGAGGCACCTGTGCCAGCATCTCACGTTCGGCTTTGTTCTATTGCCCCGTCTCGAACTCCCCCCCCCCCCACCCTTGTCCTCTCCGTAGCGCAACGATGTTTGCCATCGGGGTTGGGTTTTCGTCGCTTGGCAGCGATGTTGTAAAACAAGCCGATCACTTCGTGAGCTCGGCAACCAGGTTACCGCTTTTTTTTTTTTGCGGTAACCATGAATGGTGGTCGAGTAGATTATGTTGTGCAGGGTCGAGAACCCTCACTCCGCGCAAAGGGGATAATCGCACCACGTTGTGTTAAATTGGTCAAGCACCCTCGAGGCAGTCACACAGCGCTTCCAACTGTCTCTGGAAGTGAAAGCACCAGAAAAGAAATGAAGTCATACGCAGCTGTCATCCGTAAGCAAGGAAGTAAGCACAAGATGCCGAATACCCTTAGCAGGATGCAGCGCACCCTTCATGCGACTCGCCGAATACCGCACGGCGCTTCGCGCTTGGTGATATGAGAGCCTGGTCCGGTGAGAACCCGGCGTGCTCCGTCCCGGCTTTGTACGGATGCGAGGTCAATGGTCTAACGACTACGGCATGCACGACTATGAGTACACCCCACCCTTGTCCTGCCCGAAGCTTTTCCTTACGAACAATGTTTTCGCCGTCTGCACAGTAGAGCGAGGCGTTCGTGACACAAAGTCAGCCGCGTGTAGCATACTCAAGTTCGTTACTATTTCCCGTACCACGCCTCTTCTGTCCCGCCCGCGTATCCACCAACTCTTACCCACTCCCCCCATTGATCACTGTTATCATGGCTGGCAGTTCCTCTGAGGACCCCTGTGTACCCCTGGGGGTGTTGTGACGTCCGCTACCCTAGCCTTCACGTCCGCGTGTATTTTTAAACCTGATTGCATATGCTCTGTTTCTATGCACCCGCCACTAATCACTGATCAATCTATCCCTCTCCCCAACGATGTACCTGCGATGGCCTTGCTCATGCTGTCGCTCGTGTTGCAGGCGGCTGTTAGAGACGAGGAGTGGTCCCTAGCATCTAGACTCTTCGACGAAGCCGAAAAACGACATATGTCTGGACATCACGATAGGGGTAGAGGCGCGGGTACGAGTGGCGATATCGCTGATGGGGGCAAATCCCATCGGCTAGCAGGCCCTCCAGGAGCGTCTGATGCCCGGTCATACGACCGCGGGCGTAGAGAGATGAGAAAGACGGCGATCGACACAATGGCCCCGACGGCTCTGACATACCGCTTAGCTCTGCAGGTAGGCCGAGTAAACTTCATGTTCAGAGCATATGTATAGCACGGCAACGGCTCGGAGACAGTATAGGTTGAGCTTGTCCTTGTTCGGATCAGAAGCAACCCGGAAGAGACAAATACACTGTTCGGATCAGAAGCAGCCCGGAAGAGACTACCTCGCGTTTTGATTAAATTGTTGTTTGCCACGTACGCAATGTGCTTTTGTGTTTCGGGGCCACTCATATTCCACACGTGGGCTGAATATACAGAGCAATCACCGCCAAGCAATCACCTACCTCCCGAGCATTATATATTTCAAGTACGGATCAAGATTGTTGTTGACTATTTTGCTAACCAACACACGATGTTTTGCGTAGGCTGAAAAGCCAACAGCGACGCTTCGAAGCAACATCAAAGTACTTTGCTTGTGGATTTACCGCTGTCGTATCTCATTTTCTCATTTCCAGGCGTGCGTCGGGGCAGCTCCGTCGGAAGACAAAATGGCAGAACGAGCGCTTGAGCTAGTCCGGAAGATGGTTTCGGACCTCCATATGGGCCCAAGACGGGAGGCATTTTTGCTGGCACAGCAGGTGACGATGCTAAAGTTGTTACTTTTGACGATGGTTTTGCAGTTTGCCGTGTTGCTTCTAACTACGGTGACTCCTCTTCTTGGCGGCAGCTAGGGCTGGAGATTGTGGTGACATTCTTGATGACTGTGACGCGGAACGGCGATCTATTGAACGCGGTCATTCAAGCTGCATATGAAGATGGCGACAAAGCTTTCTGTCGCATTCTTTAGGGGATGCGATAACCATCGCATCTTGTGCTCGATCTCTGGCATGCTGGCCCAGGTGTGCGCGAAATCAGCCAAAATGGCTGTTGCGGTCGAAATTCGGCGGCTGGAGACCGAGGCGCAGGACAGACACGAAAACGAGGACTTTTTGCGGCAATGGAGAGAGCGACGCAGCTATAGGCTAAACTGTGCCCCTTCCACGCTGGCCGGGTGAAAGTTGAACGGATCAGATTTTGTTGAACAGAGTGCAACAAGGGCGATTGCCAAGGCAGCCCTGCCAAGAGAGAGGAAAACATGCAGCTACAGGATATGGGAGACTGTAGTACTAACGCCTAGAGGAGAGCATTTGAAGGCAGCACAGGACATGTAGAGCTAGAGCTGTGTACTTCTGGGAGTTTCGGCGGCCTTCTAGGGATTCCAGCGTTGATTCGCATATGGGAGTGTAAACTAGGCTATTGAACCCCCGGGATCTAGTATGTTGATGCCTTCACATGTGCAATGGTTTTGGAGGAAATTGTCGAGAACCTAGCTGCTGTGTCGGTTTCGGTTTCTTTGATGTGCCAGCAAGCTGTCGATACATCTCCATTGTGTGATACGGGCAAAGGAGTGCATTCAGCAATTTCTACAGCTGTGGTGGGATTTTCTGAACAAGTACGCGTTGCATATTCGAAAGAGCATGTTCCCAATATACTTTTTGTGCATTTTTCTCCTGGCCACTCCGTTGGAGTAAAGCATTGCGGATGGTAGGGGGCAATGAAGCAGGGTGGGGTGTTACATGGTCTACTAATTGTTGCGAAAGGTTGGAGGAGCCTTTCGGGCCTTTCAGCTCATCTCATAAACATGACCGCAACTTGAAAGGCCTGGCAGACAGTAAGGAAGCTTCCAGTCATGTCCAGTTCACAAATCGTTTTCATTTCTACAACACCGTGCGCGGTTCAACAAGAGAACCTAAATCGACTACAGAATAATACGATTTGGTTTAACTACATATTCTTTTTACCACGCGGTGTACACATTCACATCTCGACATCCTCCAAGTCATCAACGTCGAAGTCGATGTCATCATCGTCGAAGTACCCGTCTCCTCCGCCACTACCATTGCTGCCGGTCACACCAACACTACCTGGCATGTTGTCCTCCGGCGCTATTTTCTCTCTCGATTCTCTAGACCCACTATGTCGGTCTTCACCCAATTGGTGTGTGTCTACGTCATCGTTTCTCCCTTTCGTAATCTCTTCCCCTTGTGGGCTTGCATCTTCGTTTGGCCGGCTGTTAGCGAGTTCTTGCGCACGTTCAGTCTCTAGGTCGATATTTTCATCGCTACTCTGCTCTCGTTCCGGTCTCGCATCAGACGCGGCAATGATCACATCGTCTTCACCTCCGCCACCAATCTTGCGCGCTTTTTTCTCTCGATCCAGGAAGCTACGTGGTGGGGGATATAAGAAGGGAAGCGTGCGATTCTTTGAGCTCGTTGTGCTTTTGCTTCCGCTAGCATCGACGGTAGCCCCACACAAAGCAAGCGTCTCAATGAGCGACTACGCCGGTTCAGCATACCGAGGAATTCTTTAGTTGTGTGACTACTATAGATAGATAGAGGCGACGGTTTCTACTGTTAGGTTTTGGTTTCAATCCACGCTGATGCGTCCATCGCTAATTGTTTGTATTTAGTGTGATACGATCACAACGGGTGGCATACGACTTGGCTCCTGAGTTCTGAGTATGCGAGGGAACTGAAATACTGGCTGCATTGGATCTGCAGCGGGCACTACCTGACGAAGTCTCCGTCATCTTCACTGTCCCCGTTATCAACTCCTGACGGTGTTCTTCTTAACGGCGTCGAAGTCGAACCTGAAGTGGGTAAGCCGCGAGATTGAAATGTTCGATTTTTTGCTGCCAAGACTGTACCAGTCAGTTTAAACTACATATTTTTCGGAACGTTTTGGAAACATTCATTCAGTGCTCAGCGAGCACCGTCTGGAGCAACATTAACATAATTCGAAGTTATGAGATGGACAATCACCGCAATCGGTGAGGACGCTTGGAAAACATGTTTAGGTATGAAAATAGACTATGCACTTAAGTGGCAAATACTCGCAATACATTTTGATCGTCATTGTCCATATTTTCACTATAGTATCCAAAGGATCGAAAGGCCAGCCAACCGGGGAACCCTTCGGCCGTATCATGCCTGGAGACTCTAAGCGTACCTCTGCCCGCGATAGTCACCCCTTGCTCCTCATTGCGGTCGTCATCAAGCGAAGGGATCTCGGGAAAGTCCTGCTAGAGCAGGGTGTTGAAAGCGTGTCGGGGTCGGGGCGCTGTGTGATCGTTGGAGTTCTGTACCTCGAAAGACGATACAGGCCTGAATATTGTGATATGCCCCCCCCCCTGGTGTTTGCCGTCGGGGATGGGGCTTCGTCGCTTGGCAACGACGTTGTAGAACAAGCCGATCATTTCGTGAGCTCGGCAACCAGGTTATTTCCGCTTTTTTTTTTTTTTTGTCTTGTGTATTTTGTTTTTTGCGGTAACCATGAATGGTGGTCGAGTAGGTTATGCCTTGCTGGGTCGAGAAACCTTACTCCGCGCAAACAGGATAATCGCAAGTTGTGTTAAATTGGTCAAGCACCCTCGAGCCAGTTACTCAGTCCTCATAACTGTCTCCGGAAATGAAAGCACAAAAAAATAAATCAAGTCATTGGCAGCTGTCATCCGTATGCAAGGAAGCACAAGATTCCGAACACCCTTAGCAGGATGCAGCGCACCCTTCATGCGACTCGCCGAATACCTCGGGGCGTTTCGCGCTTGGTGATGTGAGAGCGTGGTCTCGTGAGAACCCGGCGTGCTCTGTCTTGTCCATGTAGGGATGCGAGGTCAATGGTATAACGACTACGGCATGCACGACTATGAGTACCCCCCCCCCCCCCCCCCCCCGGTTTGATGGAAAAAAGCGTGGGCCGGTCATCCGTCCGGGGGGGTCGGAATTTAACATCCTCCGGGTTTGGGAAATATCGATGCCTCCACCGGGGTATTTTTGGGATTTTTTTGGGACCCTTGGAGCAGTGGGCTGGTTTACTACTGGCCCCCAGGGTTTCGCTGTTACCCAAAAGTTTTGCCCTGATTGGAAAAATGGCAACCAAAAACGGGGCAATAACGCACCGCCAAAAGGGAAAGGGACCAGGGAGCGTCTTCCTCTTTAGAAGAAATGGGGGGGGCACGAAGGGGGCGTTTCCGTTTGTGGTGGTCTGATTCGGGAAGCGCTTTTTTTACGTT